GGCCTCAATGAGACAGAGATCATCTGCCTGAAGGCCATCATCTTTTTCAGCCCCAGTGAGTCAGTATGACCGTTGAATTTGCGTGAAACATAATACTTCTAATGATGCCTCAGTAAATGCATCGGACGATGGTACAGCACAAGTTGCTGATTGACGCCACTTCGTTTCTGCTCTCCGTAGAAATTTTGTACAAGTGTTTTTCTCAGCGCAACTATAGGGCGGTCTTTCGAAGCCAATGAAGGAAGACGGCGGCCTTGATACAGGGGCTGTTGGAGGTTAAGCCTTACCTGCATTTATAGCTTCCCCATTCGCCAAGTCGAAGCCACGTTTGAATCCACCATTGTGATTACTTGGCGATATGTGTTTGCAAAAGATTTTAAACAATCCTAAGTTAAAACGTTTTCCAAAAACCAAAGCTTATAATGCATTATTATGTTTGGAACTTTTATAAGAAAGCCAAATTATGTCTGAGTACTAGTCACGGCAAAAGTCGCCCGCACCCCGTTAAGATTACGAGTGCGTCTTCCAGAACTGTCTACAACATACAGCCGTAAACCACAACTGCAAGCGTAATAGGTTAAAAAGTTAGTCGAGAAGTGAAACATTTTTTGAAACCGGAAGATGCCTGTTATTCGAGTAAATATTCTGAAGAAGACGTAATTTTCTATCAAACGAGTGCAAGAAAATATATAATTATTCATGTTTTCTATGAAGCATAGGTGCATTTATGAGAGTAACGAAAGTTTTCGACTCCACACAAGAAGCCATTGTCAGGGAAAGTGAGAAAACGGCAAGCGTTGGCGACGCGTAAATGGGGGTGGAAGGGGGTTGGCCAATTCCCATACAAACATGCAAGTTGCCACATCAAGGTTACACGCCATAACTCCAGGGACGCACGATAAGATGACGTGAGAATGGGCGTGGCGTGAAAATTGACCAATCAAAAGTGCGAACCTCCCTCCCACCCCCGTTTACGTGTAGCCAACGCTTGCAGTAACGAAAGTCGATGTGAAATATAGTCCAGTCTTTCTCCTTATTCTTCCATCCGAGGAATATGCATCTAGATTTCCCTTAGGTAAAGCTTCCTTATACCTTTCATGTTGTAGTTTACTGCACATAACTACCTACTTATTTCGTTAAAGTAAGCCTGTTTTTTTCCATTATTTCATATAAATGTGGATTGCAGCCCCTTTCATACATAGCGTTTCTACAGCTTTTCCTCTACTTGGTTTTAGCAAGCTCATTGCTCAGTACTAACGGTCGGCTGCTGATGGAGAGTTCAAGGAACAAGCTGCAGGTGGAGCTGATGAATCTCATGAACGACAATCAGTATCTTTCAGAAGGCCGCTTCGGCGAACTTCTGTTGCTGATTCCGACACTGCAGCGCGTTGCAAAGTTGCTGGTAATGAAGATTGCGGCGGCCAGACGAGATGGTCTACATGTGGATGAACTGCTATGTGATATTCTGCTCGGCGGTGAGTCAAAATAGGCCTGACATTAAACGAGTAGACTTGCGTGCAAGAATATTCATGTTCTACCGTTATTGGAGTTAAAAGCCTACCTCCACAATAAACAGTGAATCGTAGATCAGAGGGGGACGCATTCCAAGCGATATGATGAAGAAAGGAAGAGTTGCATCGGAAAAATCAAATTGTACTTGGGAATTTTTGAGCTGGTGGCACTAGCCCGTCTTCAAAAAAAAACAAAAGGAAGCGAGAAAGTAAGAAAGTATCATCAGACAGTTTAAGCGACAGGACGGCTTAACCACTGACTTTTGAAGCGATGATTCACGGGTTGTTCATGGGCGGCGAGGGTGGCGTTAGGGGCAGGACGGATGGTGGGTCGGTTGATGTCATAGTGACTGGGTTAGTGGTCGTTGGCGCGTGACTAGGACAGTGGAAGATAAGTTGTGATCTTAAGACACCGCATTGGTCGTTCAAGTCAACGTGGAGATTAAAACTACTCGCAGTGGAATAACAAGACTCGATGAATTCCCGTGCTCGCTTTGTTTTAGCAGTGGCAGTGATTTCATTGTCATCCCAATTAAATCTATGGTCGCACTGGATTGTGTGTGCAAAGAAGGGGGACAAGGGGTCTCGGCGACGGACAAGTAATTTATATTGCTCCATGCGGGTGTCCAGGCTCAAAGATAGCTTGCTAATGATTAAATGTGAATATGATATACTATCCCACAGGATTCACATATAAACCGGTGCTTGTCACTCCCAGTCAAGGTAACTGGCGTAGCGGATTCGATGACGAAAGCGTAAATAATGCACACTTTGACGTAACAATTATTTTCAGATGAAAATATCAAAAAAACCATCTTATCATCCTATATATTCTCTTCATCTGCCTGTACTTATGCTCCCAGTAAGCACTCCTTTCTCATTTGACAATAAACTTTGTGATTTCACGGTGGGTGCGGAGTCTCCTGCCTATTGTGCAGTTATTTTATCGTACAAAATACATACTTCTGACCAATAATATGTAGCACGTTAGCCTACGTCTCTTTTGATATGTGTATCTTCGTTCGATGAAGGTGCTAGACCTCGTTACTACTTTGCTAGGCTTTCTCCTATGAATTCAACCATCTGCATATGGTAAGGATATAACTATTGCGCAGATAGTCAAGACGTTCCGACCGAACCTGAGAAGATTTAAGTCGGAGAATTAACTTCATGAGCTCACAGTGGTTTCTGATGTACTTAAAATGTCAACATCCCTATTTATTCCAGAGGAAATTCGTGTGCCCCTGATGTTGCCAACGCTTGATGCGGCAAATATGCAACTTCAAGGACCCTTCGGTGAGAACACTGATCCAACCGACTGCTCGGCGATGGGGTTTCGCGGGGAAGTTCGGCAGGATCTGGAGCCGGCGGATTGGCGTTCGGTCGATGGAGGACAGTTTTCTGTTCACCAACAACTGATCTCCTGTACGGACAGAAGCGACGTTAATGGAGGCCTTGACGTCGGTCACGGCAACTCCTGGATTTATGACAATATGTCGCTATCAGCCGAAGCACACAGTTATAAACAGCCACCTCCGGTTTACGTACGTAAAATGGAGGACGAACTGCCGTGTGATGCGCTGCAGAAGGATCTGATTGGTCCATTTCAAGGTCAAGCAATTGAGGAGAACAAAATGCCTTCACAAAGCGATTCTTTCATAGAAATGAACAATGGACACAACCCAGGTCTCGCATGTTCACCTCTACCGAATTACTCCGCCAAGAAAAAAACCGGATAGTACTGAGGTAAGATTAATTTGGGAATTCAATAATCCAACCATTTTTTAAACTATATTTAAGCGTATAATTCGTATTTCAGCATCTTTTAAATTTATGCTGTTTTTTTTCAGAATAAGCGCTGACTGCACGCTGGTCAAAATTTTGTGGAAGTTCACCTCATCTTTGCCGTCCTGGTGCCCAATTCTGCCATCATTTTCACCACCATTCTCTTAACTGGCATAGAGTTAAAGCCGAAGTCTTGAAATGTCACATACACCAAAAGGCCGTAACACACCGAACTGTGGCCTGATCTGCCCAAACACTTACTTCCAAACGCACCAGCTGATTTGTATTCATATTGTGTGTCACCCACACTGATCAAAAACTTTCAAAATGTGATAGTAAATGTATTCTTCACGTTTTGGTGAGAATGTATCGCAAGGGGCTAAGTGAGTTAAATCCCGGCAACTTCGCTCTCGAAGTCCGGCGCCTTAAGAGGTGAAAAAAGTCACGGCACGGCCAAAGTAGTAGGAGGAGTATATTCTGTACAGAATGATTAGGTGAATAGGCAGTAGGAAGTTGACTATCAGATGATCGCACAACCGCAAGCCAGCGGACGGCGTCTGAAGTGATGTTTGCTCGGCAGTCGTCATATGAGACCCTGTGTGAATCGGTCTGTGATTGGCTGTTACCGAGGCCGGAAACGCAGAGCGTTCCCAAAGTGTACTTTGACTTGAGCTAGTCACGACAAGCGTTCACAAGTGCACTTCGTGTGGAGCTAGTCATTAAAAGTGCTCCCCTCCTAGGCCGTGGTTCGTTAATGAACGAAAGTGAACGAAGGAAGAATAGTTAAATGTAATAAAGGAGGTATGTACATACCAAAGTAGAGTTGCAAACAGCGTGGACGGCTGTTGATGGCGTGAAATAGCCAGGTTGCAGAGGTGGTTAGCTAAAGCAGATGGCTCAGTTAAACGTCAACGGCAGAACAGTATTCTGTGTCAGTATGGGTTGAAATAAAAGTTACCGTTGGCATGGAAGTAGGACCAGTTGGTGGGAAGAAGATCTGGATGTTGGTACTCAGAAAGGGACTTCTCATTTGGATTGGGAAGGAACCATGGCCAAGACTGGATGGGTTGAGAGTAGTTGATAGCCTCCATCTCAGACGACATCCATCTCCACGACAGAATGCCGGTTGAGAAATTCTCGATATTGCGGTCGCATAAGATGACACAGGATAAAATTTGTTGTAGTCGAGTGAGGGTTGATGATAATTGAGGTCAGCTATAGCACAAGTCGCAAGTTGAGACCACCTAGGAGAGTCACCATAATCGTAGGGAAACTTCGGAAATTCACCACGACAACAGGGACTGCAGGACACAACAGAAGTTGCGAGATCAGATCACGTCGGGCAGTCACCCATATCGCAGGGGGTTAAATAAGTTAAGCCCTGGCAACCGCGATCCTCAGGTTCGATGCCTTAAGAGATGAGAGAAGTCATGGGAAGGCCTGAGTAGGAGAAAGAGTATATTCTGTACAGATAGCAGATTACAGTAGACGCCGCTGATCACGCAATC